GGTGACTCTGGTCCAGCCAATGAACCCATCAAAAACCTCTTCATTTCACCTCACTTCACCAACACTCGTTGGTCTTTCCCATCTGCTCCATCTCAACCTGTTACCTGTAACCGTAAGTCCCAATTGTTAATTAACAAATTCATCTTCAATTTTACCTTCGATTTGTGGGGTTTCGGTTATGAATCATATGTGATTTCGATTAACAAATGCATCTTCGTTGAATTTAGGTTTTCGGTTTTGTTGCTGTCATAATAAACTTCAAATTGGGTGTTCACGTGGCATGTTTTGAATAATGTTGCTTAAAGTATAGTTCATATATAAGATCGGTACCAAGTTAACACCTTCATCTGTCACATGTAATTGCAAATCCGATTGAAATATAGAATAACACGCGGAAACTAAAACTGAAATTTACCATAGTTTATGGGTTTCTCAGTGCCTAATGATCTCCCGCTGGTGACGATTTGATGTATGTCAGTAAGGTGTAAAGGTCTTAAAAGTTTGGCTCTCGATTAGAACTGTTAACTAAATGGATTTTAATTTTGACATATTTGTTGCTCATGTGAAGGATCATGATTCTGACATTCTATGATGGTTCTAATTTCAAAACTAGATGTAGCTAAATTAGTTGTTGGAGAGGAGGTTATAAAGGTCATCAGTGCAACAAACCACTGAGAGAGAGTTTCTTTATCCACAATTGAGAATTTAATTATTTGGAATTAATGTAATGCAATTGTAATGGTTTTAGATTTAGAAAATTGTTACATGCCATAAAATCACGAACGTCTTGAAAGTTGAATGATTCAAGGAACCTAATACATTGGCAATGTATAGTACAAGCATCCAAAATCAATCTATGATGCCATAGCAATTATGGTATTTGACGAGATCATCGGCTCATCTTCTTTCACTCTCCTAGTGATTTGTTTTAAGAATATGGTTTCGTGGTAGATTTTGTGTTTAAAGTTGGATAAGCTAATGATAGGACATCCAGGTGGGCAGTCTATATCAGAATGGTTCCTCTTTTTGAACCTCGTATGCTATATATGGTATCATAACTCTGGCCTTTGCAGATGGTGCTGTGATGCCTTCATGGTTTGACATTCATGAGATACCTATAGCAGCTGTAAGCTAGTTTCCTTCCATAATGATCTTACTGTCCTGGTTTTATGAATGCCTATATAACATTTAACTTTCAGATGTTGTCATATTCTCCAGTATTTCCCTAATATGTCTCACATTCTCAGATGTCCTTTGTTTGTGTAGTCTATTTCTCTTTCCTCAGCCCTGTTACATTGTGGGTTTACTTCTGCACACATACTCACCTGTAAAGTACTCGCTTGTTTATCTATTTGTTCTGCAAGCCAGATGTCTTCATGAAAATAGCCTCTCTATCCCTTGGGGTAGAGGTAAGTTCTGCATACATCTTACCTCCCATAGATACTACCTCTGCATGGGATTTAGTGGTTGTTTGGTTTTTCATTTCTCAGGTGTGTGGGAAATTTTATTACTCTTGACACTTTACCAACACGTAGAAACCACTTCTCAGCCTTTTTCAGAATTCCTTATACTTTTTGGAGTCAAGACGCTTTTTGAATTCTTCCCAGAAATTATGGAGGCATCATTTATGTCCTTAACTATTGTATAGTGTAAAGTGGTCACATTTTAAGTTTAACATTGTGCTACGTAATAATCATATAAAAGGTGACATCTTTAGACGTTTCTATGAAACAACTCACCTTTTTACACGTTCTACAGAACAACATGTAATAAGGTCATGTTTTTACAATGCTATACGAAAGAATGGTGTAAAAAGTTCATGTTTTTACTGGGTTATACGAACCAAATTTGGAAAAAGATCATGTATTTACATGGTTCCACGATGTAACTGACTAACTGTGTAAAAAGGTCATCTTCTACACAGTTCAACGAAGCAACCGTGTCAAAAGCTCATGTTTCTATACAATTTTTAAATACAGCTTGGTAAAAATCTCACCTCTTACATGTTTATATATAACGCCGTTTAAAATTATCATTTTTTTTGCCATTCTCCGAAATAACCGTGAGAAAAGTGCCATTTTTACGAAACAACTGTGAAAAAGGAAAGATAATCATGCCTGCAAGGTTTCCCCAATCAAGTGATCTCTAAATTCTTTCTAGATTCTAAACTGGAAATATTTTTGGGGAATGATGGAATTGCTTGTAGTTATGTTCAGTGTAGAAAATTCTTTTCTATCTGAATATCTTTTGGACGCCTTTTGCTGACATTACCCTTCACATGGAGTGAAGATAGGCCGTCACAAACTTTTAGCAACAATTATCCCATGTACATGTCATGAAGCACACTTTTTTGCACATGGATACAACTAAGATTCAGCACCTCCTGCTGAAATATTATGAAGCAGTTACTTGAAGAATGAATCTGTCTGGTGGCTTGATTTTTATCCCTTATGTTTCTCAAAGTGTCCAAGTTAATCTATCCTGAACAGACCCTCTTTCTGGAAATAGAAATTAACGACTTGATATTCCGAGATTGCACCTACAATTCTGCTATGATCACTGCTTAATCCAAGGACACATCAATGTTTAACTGCTATTCTGTGGTAAAATTGGGAACAATAGAAAAGTAGAAATAAAAATGCCTAAAGAATCTTCATACTTGATTGGGTCTCTTTTTTAATTCAACAGTACCTTCTGATTGGCACATGGTCTAAATGTTTGAGATGTCACATTTGAGATACCAAAATGAAGGTTTTGAAAGTACATTACACATAATAGGAATTGAACCAAAGTATGTTCCTTTTTCATGAAATTTGTGCTATTTGTAAGGATAATGATGGACAGATAAGTACATTTTAACCTATAAACTTTTCAAAAACGAAATGTTGCAATTTTCATTGGGTTTGGGGGGGTAACAGCTGTATAACTGATGACATGGCATTCACTGTGCTGAAACAGAATTCTCCTGTGGATGAAAGTTCATTGCTTAAAGCAGTTCGGAATGTGCACTCTATGATTGACAAGGAGCTTGCTGCTGGAACTGACCCTAAAAATGTTTTTCTTTGTGGATTTAGTCAAGGAGGTCTCTCCCTCTCTCTCTCTCTCTCACACACACACACGCACACAAAAAGGTGCAAGGGTCATTGGCCTAGCGGTACCCGAATTATAGGTAGATCACTAGATCCCAACCTCCCTGGAGGTCTAAGGGTTCAAGTCTCACCAAAGGTGAGGAGTGTGTGAGTTTTGCTGTTTGTAATTACTATATATTTCCAAATAAATGCTAACATCATTTTGAACGTTGCAGGTGCCTTGACCTTGGCTAGTGTTCTGTTATATCCAAGAACTCTTGGTGGGGGTGCAGTCTTCAGTGGATGGGTGCCTTTTAACTCAACTGGTTCTCTAACAGATCAGATCACGCCAGATGCAAAAAGGGTATGTTCGAACAAGAAACTAGTAATCTAGAGATGTAATATTGCATATATTTGTCATACAAAAACACCCAAATGAACCCACTATATCTACCTGGAGGTGGGGTTTGGGGAATGTAAGATGTATGTAGACCTAACCTGACCTCTACCCTAAAAACTTCCTAAAAAAGGCCATACTGCAATTTTCTTGGATCCCAAATGGATTTGTTTTTGCGATTCCTTAGTGGGATATACCGGGCTTGTTTGGTTTGTTTTATGAGGTGGACTGGTGGAGTATAGTTGATTCTTGTTGCCATTGTGCTTCTAATGAGCATTTATTTGTATGTACAGACCCCGATATTGTGGTCTCATGGCACAGCTGACGTAACAGTGTTATTTGAAGCTGGACAAGTGGGTCCAGCGTTCCTTCAACGAGCAGGCGTAATCTGTGAATTTAAGGTATTATTCACTTTGTTTCATGGAAATTACAACACTTTCGTCTTTAGGATGTTTAAAGAATTGCTGCATTTTCCTGTTCGGAAAGTTCCAAAGTTAAAACCTCTATTTCCTCATTGTGATTGTTAAACAGATTGATGTTCTTGATTTTAATCTTACATAAAGACTCGTTTTTCGACCCTTTTGAAGGGCATTTTTGGTATTACATGAATAGTGGAACATTTTGTTCTTATAATACCTGGAATAACTGTGGATGGTTTCAAATAATAGGCATATCCGGGTCTTGGCCATTCGATAAACAATCAGGAGCTCCAATACCTGGAATCATGGATCAAATCCCATCTACAAAGTTCCTCATGAAGGTTTGACATTTTTACTCTTATCCCATCTACAAAGTTACTTCTTTGTTCCTGGAAAAAAAGAGTTGCACTAAGGGCCTGTTTGTTTTTCAAAAAAGATCCTCTTAGTGCCTCTTAAGTCTGATTCTATCAGATGGTTTTCCTTTTCGGACTGTTTGATCTTTTTTTTCAAAATAAGAGCTGAAAAGCTTTGATCGTCCTCTGAAATTTTAAGTGTTAACCTAAACCCATAACCGGCTCTTATTCGCATACGCTCTCACTCTTGGTCTTGTCTCTCAAGCTGATAACCTAAACCCTATCGATCTCTCAAGCCGTGTCCATATCTCTCCAGATTTGTAAACCCAAATAGATCTTTGCATGCCGAGCTCCAAAAGGTATGTCGATCTCCTGATTTTAAACCCAATCCGTTCATACATAGGTACAATTTGTTAAACCCGAATCGATTGTTGCCTTTTCATATATATATTTTGCCTTAAAAGAGTGTGTTTTGAGAATTGAAGACAAGTTAAAGCACTTAATTTAAGATATGGAAACTCAAAGTTAAAGGCATGGGTGGTCAATGATCCTTTGCTTTGGCATTCTTTGTGGTTCACAACTTCATATGAAAGAAAGTTAAAAACAAACTATTGATTCAGATCTAAAACTTAAGGTGTTTGTCAGTTTACAAAAACAAACAATTTTATTGATTCAGATTCAGACTTTAGGGCCATCTCTTATAAATCAAAAGTGAAATAAGACTTCATACTTCAGCATCTCTTAAAAAACAAACGCTACCTTAGATCTGGGAGGTAAAATGGATTGCTTTTGATCTTATGGTTCTCATTTGTATGAATAAAAATATTTAGTAAAGAGATTGTTTTACTATAGACCCTGACTTATGATATATATATTTTTTTCATTTTTAGATTTTTCGTACCTTATTTGCTGTGAATGTCGAAACATACCATCTTTGACTCGGATAGTCAAAATGTATTTGTTGATCTTGAAATAGAGGGTTTCCCGTATTTCCGATTTATTTGTTTATATGATAATAACAAAATCTGGATTCTTCTGTTGTATAATTTGCGACTTTTAGGTGATCTGTTGGAGGTTCGGACCCAAAATCAAATGACCGGGATCCACATGAGCGTATTACGAGCATATTCGGGTTTATATCTGTGTTGGAAGATGATGGCATGATGTAGATGTAGGAACAACACGCATCTTATAGTCGAAAGATCAGTTAAAATCACAATTTTTTAAAAAACCTGCTTGATTATTAATAAATTGTTTAAATAATAACAATAACGGTAATGAAGTGATTTTTTTTTGCAATGTATATATATCTGTATACACACACACACTCTTGATGTTGTATGGTGTAATTTTCTTATATACACTTCGTTTTTAGTTATGTTGTTAACGTTTCTCTTATGCTCAGAAACATGTAGAAATGATGAATATTTTACACCATTTACGGTTTATAAGTTTACATTATAGACAAAGAAAGAAATGTGATTATAAATTTCCATATATATATATATATATATATATATATATATATATATATATTAGCATTGAGTTCTAGTTAGAATAAAAGTTAAGATAAGAGTGGTAGGAAGAGTTTTCACCCTCGAATCAATCATAATTAAAGATCAACACTAATAAGATGTACCTAGATAAACTAGATCAATTCTCGTATCAAGCGCAATTATTGAGGTGGGGTGGGATTAAAAGTGATCAAGGGTCTAAATCTTTTATTAAGCTTTTCCCACTAACTTCTATTTCCACAAAATCATTTCTCTCTCTCTCTCTCTCTCTCTATATATATATATATATATATATATATATAAAGTTAAAAACTGAAGGACATCATGATAATCATTCATTTGTATGATATATATATGTGTATGCAAGTAATTGAAGTTGTTTCTTGGTTTCAATGGTGTGCAATTTATGCACATGTGCATATTGGATAAATTGCTTATAAATTTATACTTTTATGCACATGTGCATACCGTCTAGATGAATGGTTTAAGTTTCTCAGTTTTTCATTTTTTTTGGGTCTTCCCCTGAACCTCCTTATATATATATACTAGTTGTGTACCCGCGCAATGCAGCGGGAGCCATGAATTTTAACGATTTGACGATGATATAGGTTACACTTGGTTTTTACATATTAATAAAATTTGAATAAATAAGAGTTATGGTTCCAATTACAGACTATCGATGAAAAAAATTGTATTACAGTTTAAAATCCAATATATTTAAAATCCAACATATTTAAACGACTCCACAAATGTGTTTGATTTACACCAAGAGCAAAAAACCAAGAAACTTGAGTTTTAAGATAAACACTCAAAACCAATAAAGAAAACTACAAATTTAACATATCATAAGCCATGAAAAGACCAAAAAAATGGGTTTTAGAATGAAATTTCAACTGCTTACCCTCTTTCTTGTCCAGAAGCTCAGATTAAGGTTGAATTAATACATGCATATATGTATTTCAAAAAAACCCAAGAACATATTAATTCAAAACATAGTATACAGTGCAATTTGGACAGTCTAACCCCAAAATGTATAGCATATATATAAATAAATAACTATAAAAGTATAAATTGTAAACATTAAAAAAATATTTTCACAGTATTTATAATATATAATAATATAATTAAGTCAAAAACTATTCAATATTGGACTCATTTCGAAGGTATTAACGARACGATTATAATGGTGTAACTTGTTAAAATAAAAATGTATTTTTTAAACATGTTTTATTTGATATACGATTATGTATGTTAATTTGATAAATGTTTAAAATGAAACATTTAAAAGTAAATGATGTAAAGTAATTAATTAACTATTTATAGGGATATAAAGTATAAATTTAAAATTATAATAAAAAAAAATCGTTGAATGGAGAGGTGAAGGTATGTGAGGGAGTGGGTGTATGTGAGGAGAGGAAGGGGTGAAAAAGTGAAAAGGATATCTTGGTCATTTAGAATTTTAAGACTTTAAGACTTTTGATGAATTTGCTTAATAAGATAGTATAGATAAAGAGAGAGGGAGGTTCAAAATGAACATTATTTAAATAAGAGAATATGAATACATCTAAATCACGTGCAAAATCATATGTGATTTTACACTAACAATCAATGCAAGGGTATGCGGACGACGTGACCTGCGATTGCATGTCATGGCAAAGTCTTGTGAATCACATGTGATTTTAGTGTAAAATCACATGTGATTCGACTTTTTTCTTACTATATTATTTGGTCACTGTTTTCGTATGAATCTCTCTCTCGATTCAACATTTAAGATTTCTCGATTCTCGATTTCAAGCTCTTTGAATTTGCGATTCTGAACTCTCGTATTCAAATCACAAGTTTTGTCGTTAGCTTTATAATCTCGTTATTTTCTTATAATTTTTATAATCTTGTTACGTTAATATCGTTTTTTGTATCATCTTATAATCTTGTATTTCTCATATAATGTTTAAGATTTGCGTAATCTTCGTGTCACTTTTAGAAATGTGGATTCAAACCAAAGTGCTAGTTTCTTCCACCTGATATACTGCAAGCTAAATTTACTCCGGTTATCGCCAACCACAACCTTGAAGCTCCAATCTGATAACGTTTTGATCTTGTGTTGGTTGAGGGGGTTAAAAAAGCCCAATGCAAAAGACGTGGAGGTCTACCAACGACTTCGGGAAATTCCATGATGAAACGATACATAGAAAAAAAAACTTGTTCGGATGTGAGAAGGCACGGGAAAGAAGCAGATCAAATGCAAGTTGGTCTCGACAGGTTCAATTGGGTTTTTACTTACAAAATCAGTTGAAGTTGGGGAACAATGTTGTATACGTAAATTTTGTAATTATAAAAATACAATTTGAAACTGTCTGGACTTGGTTGCATTTCATCTGCTTCTGTCCCATGCCTTATCGCATTGGAGCAAGTTTTTTCCACGTGTCATTTCAACGTTGAACTTCCCGAGGTTTTTAGCAGACCCCCACATCTTTTGCATTGAGCTTTTTTAACCCCCTCAATCAATACAAGATCAAAATGTTCTCAAATTGGAAGAAAACGACCATTGCTAGCACTTCGGTTTGAATCATATTTTTAACAGTGATACGAAAATTATGAAAATCTCAAAAATGATATGAAAAATACGAGATTGCAAAAAGGGTACGAACAATTACGAGATTATTAAAAACTATGCTCAGAAAACAAGATTATAAACATGAAAATGACGAGATTATAAGGTTTAGTATAAAACTGGTGAACTGAATACCTCTTAATTCAACAAATTTACCAAGTGATATTTGTCTCCACGGTCTACAATCCAGGTATTTTTAGTGACGTTAAGCTAAAAGAATCTGAGAAAATCTGATAATCAGAAAAGAAATTTTTATGAATTGAACAACCGAATCCGAGAGATTAATATCTACTTGGCTACATAAGCTTTTCATTGTCGATTCTAATGTTGAGACTTCTATTTTTGCGTCTTAAGTGAAATCAACGGATTATAATCGACAATTTAGGGTTTTTTAGTTTGCGGGATTTGGAATTTGATTCCATTCCAATCCCATTTTTGGTTTAAAAGAAAATCTGGAATTGAAATACCACAAAACTTGGATCTGGAAATCCGATGGGGTATTTGGTATTTCACAAATTTTTATAATATTTGTTTGCAATAATTTTTTATAATATATTAAAAACATTCATTTTGCAATATTCAATTAATAAAAAAGATGATTTAATTATTTTTATAATTTTTTATAATTTTTTTTACTAGAATGATACTTGCGTAATGCAACGAAATACATTTTTCTTTTTAATATTTCGTTTTATTTTTTGTGTCTGTTGATGGTTTATGTGGCTTTGAGAAAGATAATGTTTTTACTTTTAAATAAAAATAAATTTAAAAAAATATATATCGATATTAATATCAAATTAACTATTTAAAAGTTCTCGACAATGTCTTTAATTTAATTTTGTATTATAATTTAATTTAGTTCAAATAGTGAAATAATTTATTTTTGGCTTAACAATTAAATTTTTATAAAGATAATGATTCTATTAGAACTCAATGATTATTCTGATTATATTTTAGATTTTTCAATATTTAAAATGGATGTTTATCATGTATTTGATTATGTTTATTTGTAGTTAGTTACGAGAATTTAAAAATGGAGCTTTAGTAAGTTATACATACGTAAAATTACTTGTAATCTTGAATTTTAAATAATATGCATTAATAAACAGTAATTCATGCATAAAAATGGTTTTTAAGAGTTTTTGTCAAATGCTTTATAATATAGTATAGTAAATAATGTTTTTTGTCACTGTGGTTTGTTATAAATTTCAAATTTCATCCTTATGGTTTTGAAATTGAAGTTTTTGTCCTTATAGTTTGCAATTCATTTCTATTTTCGTCCTAAGGTTAAACACTACTTGTAAGAATGAGGGACTTAAATAGAAATTGATTGTAAACCATAAGGACGAATTTTTTTTTTTTTTTAATCATGAGGATGAAAATAGAAATGAATTATAAACTATGAGGATGAAAATCGTAATTTCAAAACTATAAAAATGAAAATAGAAATTTTCAACAAACCCTAAGGACTAAAAATGTAATTTACTCTATATATTATCTATAAAATTCAATTCGACTCCATTTATCCACTCCAAGTCCTATAAACAAAAGACACCAAAGATTTCAAATCCTTCCATAAAATTCAAATCCAGATTCCTCAAAACATTCCGTCAAACCAAAAGTCTCCCTAGAGAACAGAAGAGTTCAATGAAAAAGGTTTATAATCTGGAAGGCGTCCCTCCGGCAACCACAAGAGTCTCACCCGTTATATACGAAGCCTCATCAGAAGCCAAGAATGCGGTGGCTGCAGCCATGTCTTCTGTCGTCCCAAGCCTCTTGAGCGATGTCGTTTCTTCGAGGCTCTTTCTCTGACAAAACAAACAAATACAAGACCACAGGTTCATATATAAATCAAACTGGCCCAGTAAATAAAACAAAACAAGGTCTGGGGAGCGTAAAAATGTACACAAACCATACCTCTACCCCAAGGAGTAAAGTGGTTGTTTTCAAGAAGATTCCAAATCACGAGTTATATTTTATGCAAAAGAAAATATTTCCTAAAATTGCAAAATAAAAAGGACCTATTTGCCCATTGGCATCAATAAAAATTATTGGTGTAAAATATTCATGAGTTTGTCATTCTTGAAGGACATTATAATTATACACATTTGGTTAATGGTCAATGCAAAATGTAGTGTTTCTTTTTTGGAAGGGTGTCCTAGGCTATGCCAGACTAATCCTGGCAAATTGCGACTATATAACATCAACCCTGATAAACTTAGTGGTCACAGTTGTTGCAGACACCTGGAATTGAACCCAGAGCAGATGGGATATATTCCACCACATCCAAGTGCGCCTCAACCACTACATCTCAACCACTATGCCACAACCCTTGTGGTTAACTATAGTGTTTTTTTTCATTTGCATTTTCACAAGAACGATGGTTGCAACTACAATCCAGATGCAAGGGTTTGACAATGTTAACTTCTCATTGTTGATTATTAATAAAGGACGTCCATGGTGCACCAAGGGCCCCGTAACCCGCTATCCCAAAACAATTGTCCACGATGAAAAATGCATACAGTTTTAAGAATGTGTAATTATTATGCTTTTTAATTAACTACATGACACTTTTACCCATAATAATAGAGGAAGTAATGAATTTCTTCATCTCATAGTTAAAGGGTAGAATTGGAAAGTAGACACTACTTTTAGAAAAAAAGGACACTTATTTTGGGAAGGACATGGTCCTGTTTTAACAATCTTGTGACTCATGAATGACCTCCTTGCCCCTAATTGTTCGTATATCCCCCTCAATTACTCTTGTGGCCAAACTTACTGAACGAACGTAATTGAGGTAACATCTTAAAGATGGGTAAAAAAAAGGATTCCAAAAGGGACTTTGATCTTTTATATATTGCAAAGCTACAAAGACACTATTGGAAGTAGAAGATACTTACCATGGTTTCATTATTGGTAATGAATTCAGCAAAGTGTGTAGGTACAAACCCCGGAGCCACACAGTTCACACGAGTACGTGGGCCCATCTCGGTTGCAAGAGCCTAAATAAATACCAAAAACAACATATATGATTCAATTGTTTCACATGTTCTCTGTTCTTGTGTGTATGTGTGTGTTGATGAGTTAATTTGTGAAATGTATATTGATGTTCTTTTTCCATGAAACAGTCCCAAAAGTTCCATAAATGAAACAACACTATATAAACCTTCCATGTTTCATATAACACATGATACCTGGTTTGTAGATTTGTAACAAATGTTGGGTTTTTATTTGATAATGAGCTAAATTTATTATGTATATATATATTATCTCTATTTATAATTGCAGATGAAAGAACTTCCCAAAGAAGAGATATATATATATATACTTTGATACCTTGGTAAGACCAAGAAGAGCAGTCTTTGTGACACCATACATAGCCAAGCCAGTTGGAGGTTGGAAAGCACTGATCGAGGAAATGAAAACAATTGATGAACCTTCCGTTAAGTGAGGGGATGCATCCTGTTCAAAAATTCAAACAGAAAGAGAGACTACTAAGTCCAATTAACTCTTGTTACAAATTTAACACCTATTGTTTTTTATTTTCTAAATTTCAGTTGGGGTTATTAGTAACTCATCAAATGTTCTAATAGTTCAAATCAATTTGAACTTAATGATTAATCTCTTTCAACTTAAAAAGTAAATGCATCTCGCATCAGAAATGGAGGAGTAAACGCAGTGTTCTGAAGTACTTACAACTGAAAAAATATAAAGGAAGTCAAAGAGAATGTGTAGGAATCAGGGGACTTAACTTTTGATATGTCACTCTAAAAGTTGGTTTACATGGTTCACGGTAAAAGCACATAAATACCTGTTCTGACCCTGGTTCCTAGACAAACTACTTTTATAAAAAAGGATTTACCTTAATAAGCAGTATAGCGGTTTTAACATTGATTTCCCAAAGCTTGTCAAGGGCCGATTCTTGAGTTTTAAGAATGGCATCAACTGAAGGATTAGCAGCAGCATTTGACACTACTACATCTATTTTCCCATATTTCTACAACCACAAAGAACGAAAGTAAGATTACACAAAGAACGAAAGTAAGATTACACAAAGCTATCTAAGGCGAATTAAACACGATCCACATGCATATTCATTTTCAAGATTTTAATACTTCCAATTTGTGGGTCCCAGCAGATATACGCATGCAACATGCATCTTTGACTTGGATTAAATTTGACAAGACAGCTTAGCTAGGGAAAATCAGAATTCAAAATGTATGCCAAATAACCACTTATAATCCTGAGGTCAAAATGGGATTGATGCATACACTATTACCATCGTAAAGCTTATACTCTTCTCCATCACATGAAAATTGAAATATACTCCATTTTGGTCATTTTAATTATTCATTTATATCATGTTCTTCCACCATTCAATTAGTGGGTCAAACTCCATCTCTACCCAAACCAAACGAACCCAATATATCCAGTAGGATGGATTGCCACATCTTTGTTTTTTCTCAAGCTATAGGACACACAAAATGAAAGCATTTGATGGGAAAGGCGAACTCAAATAATGTTTAGGTTGCAAAGGTCCACCACAACCACCTCCAAAGTGATAAAAATGACCTTAACTATCTTTAGGAATTGTGGGGGCACAATGGTCTGAAATGACCATCAACCATTTCACATACAGTTCTGATCATGTGAAGTTAAACATAATTGTTGTGATAGACCAATTGATGTCTAACTCGAGCAGCTTTGTTAAATATCAAGTCCAGGATTTCAAGATGAATAACCAAACTAATCATTTTAAATGTAGAAAAAGAATAAACTGAAAGACTATAATCATTTGTGAATAGATGGAGGATGGTTAAGAAATTTCAGCTCATAAGCAGACATATGCTCGCTTGAGAACAGCATCTGATTCTTGCCCAAATTTAAAGTTTCCAATTCTTGAATTAGCAAAAAGAAGATGAAAATATAGGTCAAAGATCACCCTCACCTGAATCGTCTGGTCAATGAGATTCTTTCTCTGTTGTGCATTAGAAACATGGCATACCAATCCCAAGACTTCAATTCCTTGTGCCTGGAGCTTTTTCACCGCCTCATCAACGTTTTTCTAAGATAAAATGGTTTCATCTTTAAACTCAATTTGATACAAATTTCAATAAGCAAAAAATTGGGGTAACATTTATTTCCAATTCATGTTAAGGAATAGAAATTTTAATAAGACATGTAAGCTCAAAGTTGCAATTTCTGGGCAGAAACAACACAATTGAGCTTCAGTTTGACTCAATTATCCATACAGAATTCTTGAACTAGATGTGGAATAAGCTCAAGAAATCCAAATCTTCAAGAGACAACTGACTCACAGTAAATCATACATATATATAATTGAGCAGATTGGTGAAACCCAGTTTACAGTAACACAATTCATCATCTAAAACATTTCAAAAACCAAACCAATATTTATAGCATAATTTGAAGTGAATAAACTAAAAGATATGGAATAATTACTGAGATATCCTCCCAATTTTTGAGGTGAAGAAACAGAAACCATGTGATATCCAACTCGACTAAACACAAAGGCCATACTTTATTTTAGCATATTCAAGTAGAACATACGGGATACGGAGATAATCACGTACGTCATGTGGAACTTACGAATTAAAACCCTAAAATTGAAGTAGTAAAGGTGAAAACAACGAGAAAATTGAGGAGGAAGAAGAAGAAGAACCTGTCTGCGAGAGGAGATGACAACAGAGGCTCCTTCTAAGCCAAAGCGTTCAGCAATACTGAAACCTATGCCTTGAGTTGAAGCTGTAACGATCGCAACTTTTCCTTCAAACCTTCTCCCAATCTTGGATTTCTCCATGGTTGCAGATCGAATGATTGTTTGCCTTTCTGTTCAATTGATGGCCGCCTGCAATAGAAATTTTTCCCCAATTCGAAAAGATAAAAGGGACCCACACACACCTACTTCATCTATATCATCACCATGAATACGATGAGATCACAAACAACCATAACTTTGGAGCTTTCGATTCGTCCCATTAACTCTATGAATCGGCAGCTATCATTTCAAGGCATCTAAACAAAAAAAAAGGTCAAAAAGGTCAACTTTGTGATCCACTAACAAAAATACTTATAATTCATTAAGGATATCCGGTTATCGTCGGCACTGTCAAGACCCATGACCCGTAAGGGCCGGTCCGGCTCGATTTTCTCGACCCTGTTTTTGGCCATCGCTATCGATCATTAAACGCTACAATGGATTCACAAATGTTGATCGGATTTTTTTTTATTAACCTGAATATCCAACTCGTTATGTGAACCGACTTATCGCAGGACGACGATCTGTTTTGCAGATGGAGTCACCGTATTTGAACCTTTATGGCCACAAAAAGATTTTTATTTCTCCTTGTATTTGAACCTGGACCTTCTCATACTTTTGACATTTGAAACCAAGCTCAGACCAATCATACATCACCCTTGTGAATACTGAATACGGAAAAACTTGTGGCTGATCGCTAAATAATGTAAGACAATATCTTAATATCGAATTTATTAATAATTGTGATTTATTGTTTAAATAATATTTAGTTTTAGATATAATTATTTAGATTTTTATATTAGTTATATAAATTATTAATTAATATTTAAAAAACATATTAAAATATTGTTTTTTTATTTATTTTAACTCTATATTGGAAAAATTATTTTAAAATTTTGTATTAATAAAAACTAGTAAAATGTAAATTCATAACAAAATATAATACCGGAAAAACATAACTTCTTGACAAAAATCTATAAATTTTTATAATATAAAATTTATTAATCAAATTTGTTGCATTTATTTTAATAAGTATTCATTATATAAATTAATTACTAATTATTTATTGATATAATATATATTTATAAATTAAAATTATTGTTACGAAAAATAGTTTAATATTAAATAAAATTAGTTATTTTAATATGAGATCCAAAATTTGGTGTTTTTTTAGAATGTGGTTAGACATGACTTTTTTGGTGTTAATGAGCGTACAATATTTGGTGTTTTTTTTGTGTTTTTTCAGTGTCAAGTTTGGATATGGTCTTACTGAGTGTTACTTATCTTACTGAATGAGCATGACAAGAACTGAGAATCTTACCTAGTAAAAAACATAACAACGAATATTACTCAGTAAAAGGAAAAAACTTTTTTGCTGGGTAAAACACACTTAAGGGCTGTTTGACATTTAATGAATAGTTTGGTGCAAAATAATGAAGTGGTCAGAATGATTAAGAGGCTCTCATGATATAGTGCAAAATGAAATATAATTATTCGGTAATTGTTTACAATGGAATTAGGGTACTGAATGGTTAAGGGAGACCCATGATACAAAACCATTCAAAGGGTTTTAGAACCCATTAAGAGACATAATTTTTTTTAAACAAGATTCACCTCTTAACGATTCATAGATTGCCTCTTAATGGAACTATTAAGAGATAAACAAACAACCCCTTACCAATAATCTATTTTGATGTCCGATAATGTTACGCCGATAAGTTAAGTGACTTGCCGGTAAACTATTATCCGATATGTGTTTGGTAAGAGGTTTCTTTTTAAACAAATTAAATTAGAAATATAGACATTATACTCGGACAGAGGGAGTATTAAATAGTAAAAATATAAAATGTAAAATCATTCTTCAAAATTTCTCCATAGTAGAAAATCAAAAATCAAAGTTTCCATAAAAAAAAGTAACAATGAACTTCAATAACTTCTCATTTTGAATATTACGACATTAATTATATTATTATAATATTTAATACATTTAATAAAATATTATTTTTTTCAAAACATTTAAGTTTTAGGATTTTTATCGGAAAGCCCGAAATAACCCTTCATAACAAAGCCTACCGAGTCTATTTTCACATCCAAAGCTGGAGCTTGGCTCGGGTTTGAAAAAGCTCGGCCTCTTTTTTTTTTTTTTGCTTACCATAAACGAGTTGGACCAGGTCTGAAAAAACCTGAATGCTTTATGTCTCTATATATGAGTGTGAAATTGGTAGGAATCTGCAATTAGTATATGATCTCATTTAACCTCACCCAATGCAATTTGTCTTGATCAACACCAAACATTATTTAGAATCGGTTCTAACTTAAAACAATCTAATGATGATATGTTAGATGTTTTAAGAAATATTCTAAGTTTACTTCTTATTAACCAACTCTGCTTCATTCTGATGGCTTGGGTTCGTCGCTTGAAAAGTAATGCAAACAAGGTTAAGAACACATTTAATTCGAACCATGTTCTTTTGAAATAAGAAAAAAAATCTGATCGGGATAACACCATGTTTTTATCCCACTTAGATGTTTTTTGGATGCAACTGATTTTCTAGACGGAGGGGCTGTTTGGCTGATTTTTTATTACGCCATGTATAGATAAAATTATATGTGCGGATTAATCTGTCTGTGTAGATTGAGAAGATTTTGGTTTGAAAGATTTTTTTTCATAGATGGAAGAAACATAGATTGGGAGGAGCAGATTTAGAAAAATCTTGTTTTTTTGCATAAAACTTTTCTCTAGAAGCTTACTGAATAAACCACTTTATATATCATTAAGTCACTACCAAAAAGTCGTATACAGCTGATTGAATAAGCTGTAAATCTCATTAAACTCATTAAGCTGCTAATAAACATATACCCTGAGATGTCGATGACTTAATAGATGTGAAGGGAAAAGAGGAGCTCCAAGTTGGATTACAAACAAATTGCCAAGCTTTATGTAAAAATTTATTGTTAATATTCAAGACAAACACATAAAAATGTTTTCATAAAATTAATGTGATATAATATTTGTAAAACATAAATAAATGTAAACAACAACAAGAGTTAAGCTCTTCCTAATGTGCTGATTATTATTCCAAACAAAATACTTGTTAAACAGATAAAAGACAATAAATTATACAATATCCTAAGACAAAATTTATCCTCGCGTGTGCTACAGTTATGGATATCACGGTCGAGAAGATACAATTATCTAATCGAGTTCAAGCACATGAACTCGATTTTGGCAAATGTGTATATGTTCCATGGAAAACAAACTACTCTACCAAAGGGCCTTTGGGCTAACGGTATCGTAGTCTTTGGCCTCCTAGGAGATCAGGGGTTCAAACCTCACCAAAGGTGAGGAGGGTATGTGAGTTTATTTGTTGCATTTGCCGTATAAAAATATTATATACTTCAAAAAAGAACTTTTATTATAAGCACTTTTTTCCTTCCAATGTGTGACAAAGTCCCTCAAGTTCCAACAGGTATTACAGATTTATATCAATTTTGGAATAATTTGACCTCAAAAAACAAAAAATGCATGCCTTGTACACAGGAGTAATAATAGAATTAAAGGAACATACCATTGGTTGGGTTGGTTTTAATCATAAGGATTTCTGAAGTTTTTCAAGAGCTCAGGGATATCATATGCAAGCATGTCATCCACAACCTGAATCATCTTGCTCTTCACTTTCTCAAATTTGTCAATGTTGTATGTACCAAGAACTTCCCTAAAGTGTTCCACATCCGGAAAATCACCCGGCGGAAGATGGTGATCCCGTTGAATCTGTGTTTTTTTTCTTCAAGTTAGATATCATGACAACTTTCAATGAATTTAGTCTTTATTGCATAGAGTTATGTTAAGTTCCTATTAGATATCATGACAACTTTCAATGAATTTAGTCTTTATTGCATAGAGTTATGTTAAGTTCCTATATTTGTACTCCTAAAACGGAAGCGAAAGAGCATGTCGAGTCCCTATATGTGGTAAACTCCGTCTCTACTACAGTGTTAGGATATGTGGAACCACCTTTGAATTCTCTCTAAGAGAGCCCTTATAGAGAGTATATATATATATATATATATATATATATAGGTTTAATGGTCTTTGTCTAGCTGTTGTGGGACTCCCAACACTCAAATCTTTTGATCATCAAGGCATTATGCAAGTGAAGCCAAGAATCATATTTCGAGCTCTTGTTTTCCGATTTTAACATGTGATCTCTATGGTTTAATCATGAAAGATTTGACCGTTTTGCTTGAGTTTCCTTCGCTAAGGTGACATTACTATCACTGTCCACACAAACCAACATGTGGAGTACAAATGTATCTGTGTGTTGATGTTACATCAAAATAACCAAACCAAACAAGTCTAAGGTGCCGTTTACCAAACACTTACCCGAGTAAGCACTTACCAAGTCACTTTACTTTACCGGATGAATACGGCAAGGACTAAAAATCTTACTCGGTAAGAGCGAAGACAAGAATCGAGAGTTTTACCCGGTAAGTGAGGACGAGGACTCTTACCATGGTTAGCGCTTACCGGGATAAATTGTTGCATACGATGCGTTTTAGTGAATAAAATCTTACCTGGTAAGTAAACAATTGTGTTGAATTTTACCAGTAAGTGCTTACCGGGTAAGTGTTTAGGTAAATGGCCCCTAATATATCCCACCCAGTCGTAAGCTAAATTTTACCATTAAGAGGTCAGGGGGAACCTTTTAAAACAACAAAGGATATATGTGTAACCCCACAATGTGTGTACCAAGGATGTTGTTGTGAGAAAAGCGAAGTATAGTGACTAAATCGGTTAAAACAAACCACAAGATCAGATGTTAAAATCAGAAAATTTTAGTAATCAATATATGGGTCTTTCCTATAAATTACCATCAAAGGACTAGAGCTACTGCAAGTCCGCAATATGGAAACAACTGCTTTACTCTTTAAGATAGAGATTAGGCCTTCTACATGCCAACCCCAGGTGGGATATACGGTCCTGTTTGGTATGGTTTGGTTTACAAATTAAGAATTCTGGATGTGTAGTGTATGAGTAAAATGGAGGGAGAAGAAGGAATACCTTGGCAAATTCATCTTGAAGATTATCCACGAGCTTCTGCTGAGCTTTAGTTTTACCCAACATGGTAGGCATTTCTTTTTTCAAATGGCCGATTATATAGGCGTGTATCTTTGCAGCCCGAGCACGTTTAACGAACTCATTGATCTGAAAACAATTTAGTTTCTTTTAGATTTCTACAAAAAAGGCAAAAACAAAATAAAATTTTCAGGTAAACATACTCGACGATCACAAGCTTTCTTTGGAATGTCTATCAAGTCTAAAAGGAGGTCATCCTGTTCTTTCTCAAAAAGCTCCTTGCCCATGGAATCAAGTGCTTCTAAATTGACTGGTTTATCACCGAACGATCTGCCAGAAAGACAAAAGCCGTCAGCAGTGGGTAGTTGATGACAGAAATGAATTAAATGAAGGAAAAAGAACTCAAATATGTATTCTAACATCAAATATCCTATCTACTTCTTACGAATCTAGTTAATACTAAGGGATATTTTTTTTGGGTACCGTCGTTGTCTGGGCCAGCTTGCGCACACCTCAACTGATCACTAAATCCCATGGGGTCCTGAAGGTAATAGTCATGAAAATCTCCAGTGGCACTGAGAAGACTCGAACTAAAGCAACCTATGTGGAGGATCCCCAAGGCCTAGCCTTTATTTGCTAGTTGAGCTGGCCCTTAAGGTTTACAGAAGGATACTTCAGTCTGCCTAGGGGAATATTCGTGCAAAGCAGAGCCCAAAGGTCAGTGAATGAAAATATAGGTAGGCTCGGGCTTGACTCATGACTTGGCTAGCTGATCAAGATGCTCAGCTCTGTCTCGCCCCAAAGGCTAAAGACTTGACTCGAATTCTATAGGCTTAATTCGTACATGCTGGTGTAAGCTCATAGCCTTGGTCCAGGTACTATGGGCTTGAATCACAAACTCTGGCTTACTTCATACAAATTAAAACTAAGCTAATATAGAATTACAAAAAGTTACCCCAAGTGGCTTGTATATGCTTGGATCGGCTCAACTCAGGCTTGTTATAGGTTTAAGGTTGCCAAGCCTTTTGATGAGCTTGCTCAAAGGGGCTACACCCCCAAGGATGACATACAAGTATGTCTCCTACCAAATATCTTGATTTATAGTACCAAATCAACCCAGTAGATCCTACATGTAATAGGGTGTCAAAAAATAGGATGTACATAGACAATATCTCTACCCTCTTATCTCTCCCCTCCTCCCCTGCCCCCCAAAACCACAAGTCCTTACATACAATATTCTACCCTAGTCTTGTGTCTCCATAACGACCTATCAGAGGTCATGATGTATAAGAAACATCAAATGGTTATAAGAAACCATATCTTGATGCATAAGAAACATCAAATGGTTAGAGTGGAGTACAAGCATAAAACAAGGAACCACAAAAAATGTATACCCAATATAAACACGCGCCACTTCTGGTGTGTTCAAAACTTTCCCAAGTGACCACATCAACGCACCATAAACTCGCATCAACTTCAATAGAACAAGGAAGAAGGTTAGATATTCAGAATAAATGCAATAACTAACCAATACTTGAACACTTCATAGATAGGATTGGAAGATTGGACAGGCGGTAGCGAGGTAGGTGGGTGAAAGAATGTGCAAAGTTTTAGGTTTTGATTTGACATGGGTGATTTAGTAGTTTACCAATCCTGTCTCATCTCCCTAACTTTGGTTCCACCTATTTTAGTGGGCCAAAAAATTGCAAATTGTCCATCTTGTCATATCCCGGTCTAACGTCAAACCAAACATGGGGCAATAAGTTTTTGTTCCATCCCATCCACCAAATGCAAAGAAAAGAAAGCCGAAACACACTTGGTTTGCAGCTTACTTTTTGTGTATCAACTTGGTCTGCTTTGTTAAGGACTACGCGAATCTTGTCATCTTGACCATGTAGAGTTGAAATCACGCGCTTGAATTCATCACTTATATCAAGTTTGTGAGGGTCAAAAAGAAGGAGAATTAGATCACATTTTTCTGCAAACCACTTTATGACGCCAGTAAAATCATAACTTCTTTGCGTACGTTGCTTCTCTCCAGATAAAACACCAGGGCTGTCAACAAATGATATATGCTCCAGAAGCTAGAAATGGATTAGGAAAAACTTGGTTAAATTCTATGAAAACAAATGAATGAAATGGTGAACCATTAATGATGGATATCAGCTTACAGGATGGTTCATCTGAGAACACTCAAATTTCGATAAAAATGCTCCTCCAAATGTTGCAAGGCCAGTAAATGGCATATCTGCTCGTACAGCAATAGTGTTCCCAGGAATGCTTCTCTCATCTGGTCCATTCTGCATTCAAAGAATGAACAAATATATATGAATCATGCAACGAGACATCAAGAATTAAAGCAAACTACAAGTTGAGAACTCTAATAAAACAAAACTAAACGGAATCACATAAGATAAGATCACTGTGAGAATATGTAGAAACCCATTAGATTACTCTCCTAAGGAGCCCTTCAAGAGAGAACATAGGTTCCAATGTACATTGAGGAGAAATGGTCCCAACTCTAACTAATGCGAGACTCAAACTCATCCCCTCCAAAGGAGGCTAGACAGGAACAAATTGTCTCAGAGTGTCAAGAGGGGGATAGACGGGTAGAGATTGCATCAAAGTGTCGAGTCTAGAGTCTAGAGTGATAGTCCTCGACTCTGATACCATATGAGAATATGTGGAACCCCATTAGAATACCCTACAAAAGGGTACTTGAGGAAAGACCGGAGGTCCCAATATAAGATAAGATTACCATAACAACAATAAATCTATCGGTGGTTGGCTCTGGTCCAATGTGAGCTCCTGTACATGGAAAAAGCAAGATCATAAAGCTTGCGTCTTACTGCAGTAATAATTCAAGAAAAGAAGATATTTAATAAATGAAAGAAGATAACTGACCTGGGTAATTGCTTTTAAGCATATGTTTTATAAATGTTGTTTTCCCAGTTGAGTATTGACCAAGAAGCATTACCATAGGTTTAGCATCGAAGTCGCTATTTGTCTGCATATGATGTTCAGAACACAACATTATAAGTTTTAGCAACATAAGCAAATAGAAACCGAGCCAAACCAAACAAGCTCAGTATGTCCCACCCAGAGGTGGGGTCTGGGGGGTGAATGTACGTGAACCTGACCTCTATTCCGAAGAGTATGGCGGTTGTTTTTCATGAAGACCCCTATCTTGTGCAAATTGCGCAAAAAGAAAACATAAAGCTTGCTCAAAAGATTTGCATAACGTAAAGTGAAATAAAGAAAACCAAACATATGTCAGAATTCTCTCACCAATAAAGGGGATACAAAGTCATTGTATTGATAAGTAACTTCCAACGGCTTTAGCTTATCGTTGTACAATTTCTTTAATCCATCAACTATAGATGTCACTTCACTAAGAGCTGTCTGAAAAGAAAAAAAAAGAAAATAGTCTTCAACTACATGCTAATCCTGAAAAACCCTTTTAAATGAGTTGTAAGAGCCCAACGAAGTAAACTACCATTTCTAGAAGTAAGTTCGTGAAGATGTTACGAAATTCAGCCAAATAAAAATGTTTATAATTTATATGTTTATTAGAACCCACAAAAGGGCACTTGAGAAAGCCCAAGAAGAATAACAGCATTCCGTGAAACAAACCTCGATGGCATGAGTGAAAATACTTACCTTCTTACTAGATTTTGAAGAAAACAAAGAGTTCAGTGCTGGCATACCTACATCATCTCGAATCAATAACAATCAACCATAACAGTAAATAAAATAATACATCAATTCCATATTAAGTGTCTACATTCTGTCTTTGGATGTCAAACGAAGTACTTCCATGTTCAAAAAACTAATTTGTATGTGTTTCATATTCTAGAAAACTGCTTTGTGGTTCTCTTATATATGGTTACTATTTTATATAAAAAATAGATAAGTTACTGTAAGTTTCTAAGGTGAAATGTATTTTTCTTGACTCTTGAAACTCAAGAAAGGACACTTACTATAGAAACGAGGGAGTAATAAAGATGAGAGATGCACCAACCATTTGATTCAAGGCTACCATCGTTTCTTGAAGCATTACGCTTCTGGAAGATGAACCAAAAGTAAACAGTTAATGTAATAAAGAGTTCAATTAACACAAATGGTAGCTAGAAAAAAAATGTGTACTTACCGCCAGAAACGAACCCAAACCTTCCATTGCTGGAAGTTCCAAACGCTCCACATCTATAGAACACAAAGAAAGCACAAAAGATGGTGGTTATGTTCATTAATAACATTTGTAGATTGTATCATATGAAGCATCGATAACATGGTTTATAAGATCCATGTTCAATTGGTTACTGGCATAGATTCTCTTAAATAATAAACAGTTAATATAGAAAGGGGAAGGCTAGTTAGTAAAATGTATTTACATGCCTGTGTTTCTCAATAAATCTATACTTAGGTCATGTCCTGCTTGTGCGAGAGTCACCAACTATGGCCATGAAATAGAACACCATCAGATTCTTGTACAACTGTAAATGTAAATAATGGGTGTTCATAAATAACAGACGAACCTGCATTGCGGTGATGAACTCTTTAAAACCTAGAAATCCTTGTCTCTTAGAATCTGCAATCGTCCAAACCTTCAAACCACAATTTCTAATATCAACGGAGCAAAATCTAAAATTGACAAAGGGTATTATATAAGAAAGAAAGTTTAGTGGGAGAAATAAACCACCATCTTTCATTTTATCAGACTGACAGCACCAAAAAAATGTTTAGCTTGGTGGTATTAATATCAGATTTCAACTGCAAAAGTATGGTACAAAAACTCGTAGCATATCAACAAAAACCGGGCATGCTGCAACATGCAGGATGGTGGGAAAAAAGTCAATACAATAGAAGCACTAAGCTACTTACCAAAAGCATGTGGATGCAAGATCCATGAAAAAAGAAAATACAAATAAATAAGAAAACTCGAATTTTTACTTTTATGGTATATAAACTGGATCTTGTCTGTTCTCATTCTTCAACTACTCTATTGAATCTTTCAATCTTAACCTTTGAATATATATATGTGTTCAAAGTATTAACATTTCTTTTTACCAAAGGAGAAGCAAAAAAGAAGAGAATAGTATCAACCTAGCAATTTTCTCAACTTATAAGCTTCAACCAAATAAGCCAGTGTATCTCATGGATCAAACTGAATCCAAAGGCAAAATAGAAGCCCTTCCATCCACGTACACAGTGAAACAAATTATAGTATCACCATATGACAAACCAGGGACGGGCCACGAAAATTTTCAAACGTTGGCAACATTTGACTATAAGAAACAAATGTCGGGATATTTTTCAAAACATCATAATTGGTCTATTGGTTAGTTCATTGTTTTTCATATGTGAGGTCTTGTGTTCAAGTCTTTTATTGCAAAAAATTTCAAAAACATAATAACCTGAAATTAAAAGCTAAAAACAAAGAAAATAACACCAACAAGATTCGAAATTCGGGTCTGGGGTAGAAAAAAAAACTCTTGCAAACCAACTCTACCAAGGAAACTTGTGTTCTTATCGTAGTTTCAAAATATATATGGTGGCACACAAGAAATCAGTATGGTTGCACCTTTCACGAACCTAAATTTTTTTAACACTACGACAGGGGAATGAAACGGTGGCACATGCCACCTTTACCACCTAACTGGGTCCGTCCACGTGACAAACTTCATATGCCAAAATTCCCTTGGAAAAGTGATACAATATGAGCGGATATAGAAAGTATACAGTAATAGAAAGTACATAGGAAAGAGCAAAAGTAGAAAAGTGTCTTACGTCTATACAATGCAATGAATCAAATAAAATGAACAGCACATTTGTACTAGTACAGTATGTCGGTGAATGCACCAAGCTATGGCCTATGAGAGTGTATACTAAAGTCACAAGTTGTGAGCTTTGACTTGAGTTTCTATCAGAAAGCCATCAATCGATTTAGACATAGATGGTATTAATGTTTCAAAGACAAAAACAGAGGAATGGGTAATAATACAACATGAGCTTCATCTCAGCCAATGTAAAATAAGAAAAACAGGAAACAGCCAAATGTGATTACAAAAACATAAATTTGTGAAAAATACTAGGATTGACGAAAGTAATAGCCGTACATCATCTCTTACTCCTCTTCATGATTACATTTAAAACTAGAAAGCAATTTGATGCTATTGTGCTCCAAGGCTAAAAAATGATCAACAAATATTGCTGTACTCACCTGCTTAAGTTCAGACTTTGCTAACTTTGACATAGCCAAGAACTCTGTGGCCTCAATACCCGTTATCCGACCATCACCATCTGCAGACAAATCCCAGCAACATAATTACGCTTGCATTATATTATTCTTATTATATACAACAGAAAAATACACATATGAAAATAAAGTTCGGGCATGTGTATATGTGATTCCAACAAGAGAGAATTCAAGTAGGACAATAAACCAAATTTCCCACCATCCCCAAACATAGTAGTTCAGGTTGCAATTTAGAAAGAAGTAAAATTAGAGACATCTTTGGGACAATTTACCTTGATTATATACAAATAAAAAAACCACTAATTTATCCCATTTTTAAAGAAAGGGAGTAGTTCAGAAACATAATTGGGATAAGGAAGCCATGGAGTGGACTCTTTCTTTTAGGGGTAAATGCAAGTGAAGGAACCACACACACATATGTAAGTACACATCCATACAAAACGTATCCACATTATACAAATACATATAAAGCGATATCCAGATCCATACATATATGTAAGCAAATACCTTTTTAATTACATATAGATGTAACACATGGTGTCAATTGATCATATACGTGGACCTGATAGAAATTTAACCCGAATCCACAAATAAAAGCAATAGATAAAGCAAACACACACATACAGGCACCAGTGAATGTTCCTGCGTGTGAATCCATCATATACAAGAATCAAATCAACCCGAACCCACAAATCAAAAAAGCTAGGCGATACTAAATCATGTACGGGGACAAACATACATATATGCGCTTGTGAAATGATCGAATCCATATAATTTACCAATTGAAACCTGAATATCAAAGTTGAATCACTACATTAACAAGTTAAATTAGAGAAAACTGAATGGAATTAGACCTGAATCGATATAATCGAACCATTGTTGATAGATTTTCCGATGTTCCTTTGGACAAGAAGCAATTGAACTAGATACGATCTCCATTAATTGGTGCGCGATTGAGGTTTTTGTTAGATCAACATTTGGGGGGGTTTTGAGAGAATGTTTCTGAAATTCGAAGACGCATGTTTTGCGCCTTGCATGTCGGCTCTTGCGACATTTTTATACGTAACGTGACCGTACGACATTATACTCCCGCTGCACTTCGTTTCAACGTTATTTTAAGAGTAATTACATCTTTGGTCTCCGTGTATACCAATTTTTTTTTGTAATTTTTTTATCCAATAATTTATTATAATTTAATTTAGATTTAATAACAAAGTAATTTATTTTTGATTTAATAATATAATTTTTATAAAGATAATAATTAAATATTTTGTTACAACTAAATGATCATCTTAATTATATTTTAGATTTTTTATATTTAAAATGGATGTTTATCTTGTATTTGATTATGTTTATCTATAGTTAGTTACATGAATTTAAAAATGGAGTTTTAATAAGTTGTATTTACGTAAAATTACTTATAATCTTGAATTTTAAGTAATATACATCACTAAACCTCTAAAAAAAACTTACATCCAACAATAACAACCGTTCTATTTTAGTAATTATAATATTAATTTTATATTATTAAAATATTTTATAAACTCATTATCTTAATACATTTTTAAAACACTATAACATATTTAATCTCATTAGTAGAAACATTTAAACTGAAATATCTCTGTCTTTAATCATGTGATATGAATTTTGTTGCAAATTGAACCCTTCCTCCTACCAATTAAAAAATTATGTCAGAAGTGAGGGGCATTTTGGTCTTTTCTTATTATTTCTATTAATATTATACAACATAAATTCGAGCCTCAAAAGCTCACCAATACGTTTTTAGAATGCTTTGAATTCTCTTCCATATTTGGAGGTATCCTAGTCATAAAATGTATTAAAAAGGTCCCAGAGATATCGTTTTAAAGAGAAAAAAGTGAAATAAGTTGTAAAAGAAGTGCAATGGAGGAAACTAGCAGAAGTGTGTGAGAGAGAGGGGGGCAGGAGGAGGGGGGGCGATGTTGCAGGTGATGGGGAAGGGATGAAAGAGACAACGTTATGAAGAATGAGGAGGGAAAAAGGGAAGGCTGGGGAAGATGGGTAGGAGGTTTACCCGATAAGATGGAGGAAGTGATCTTCTTTCGTTGTGGGGTAAGGGTGGGGTTTAAGGTGAAGTGCATTAACACCAAAAAAACATGTGCATTAACACCAAAAAAACATGTCTCGAATCATGGTATGTCACAGTCTTAACGTGGCTTTGAATACAAGTCTTGCACCACGACGGCCGCCATGGCAACAACAACAACCATAGGTGTCTTCTCTAAAATCATACAAGGATTGGTTGGAAGTCATGATGGAGTGAAAATTACTAAAACCCTATTTGTACATCCGTCTATGACTTCAGGTGTGATAACTGATGTATTTATTGCATCATGGTTACCCTGAACAATGGGTACTAAAATTGAATTCAAAGGCTTTTGTGACTATTGTAAAACTGAGTTTACAAGGCTACATCTAGAAATCCATGATCCTAAGGCAAGTCAAACTTCATTTCTAGCCACTCAGACATCTAGCTCTTCAGTCCCAAACATGACAAACACAGATCTATTTGAAGCTTTATCAACAACACTATTCAAGAGGTTCCAGGTTCAAATCCAAGAAGGAATAAAAATCCCCTTGTGGCCACGGAGATTCAAATGCGGTGACTCCGGGCTATCTGCAAAGCAGGTGGTCTCCATGAGATTAGTCGACTCGCATAGCGGATTGGATATCTAGGTTAATAAAAAAAACACTATTCAGAGTAATACTCAAAGCTGGAAACAATGGAGAATAATCGAAGTCATCATGCATAAAAGTTAAGTGCAATCAAAGAAACTCTTGGAAATCAGCCTGCACATTGCAGAGCTTTCATAGAAACCTGAATCTGATCCTACTCTAACTCCAAGTCCTTCAACACCATCCAGACTTCAAAGATATGTGTCTCATATGAAATTTGATGAAGTCAAGAACAAGCTCAATAATTTTCGAGGAGGTTACTGATTCTCTTAAGAAGGAACTACAAAAAAAATACAAAAAAAGGATGAAAAAACCAAATTTATACATTTGCTTCATTGGTTCCCTACATTTATGTTTATAAAGAATTCACATGTGAATACAAGTCGTCCATTTTTTAGATCCAGAAATTATGATAGAATTTTCTATATTTTATTCTGTTTTTTTATTCTTTTTAAACATTCCTCTGTTGACATATTAATATTACCGATGATTATTAACTGATACATGTTAGAATAATTAATAGTGGAATTATATGTTTTTCAAATTATTCATCGAAGTATTATTATTTGTGAAACAAATGAAATATAACTTAAAATAACATTTTTAGAATTGTTATATTTGATTATTTGGTTGATTAAATATATTGAATAATATTTATTCAAAATAATCTACAATTAATATGATTAATAATATTTGATATTAATTAATATTCTACAATTAGTATTAATTTGTAATAAGTAGTACTTAATAACAATTAACCACATGTGTGGTGTCTAGTTGATTTGAGCTTGGCTCCAAATATCAAAAGTATCATGAGGTCTTAGGTTCAAATCCCAGGAGAAATAAAAATCCTCTTGTGGCCACGGAGGTTCAAATGCGGTGACTCCGGGCTATCTACAAAGCAGGTGGTCATCCTGGGATTAGTCGACTCGCATAGCGGGTGGGATATCCAGGTTAATAAAAAAACAATTAGTATTACTCCAAGTAGTAAAAAATTGCTCTAAGTAGCGTTCTAATAAATAACTTGTAAGCTAAAATTCAGTTACCTTATGATCTTTTAAACATATTTCTCCCCAAAATGATAATAAAATCTTGGCGGTAAGTCATGCACTTAAACCTAAAAATTCACAATGTAAAGGGGGCCTCCACTTCTACTTATATATTAATAAAGATTTGTTTTAATTATATTATGAAAATTGATTAATTTTTTAAGATGTTTTTTTTTGTCATTTTACATTTTTTATCTACTTTATCAGCTAGTTTTTGTTTAACATGATTTGTTAATCAACTAGTTTATAAGCTACCATCAATCTTGTCAGCTAGTTTGCTCCGACAGTTATGATATTTTGTATGTTAAAATAAAGAAAATAAGAGAGAGATTGTGAAAATCTCTAATTTTAGAGAAATCTTAAAATAGAGAGATTTATTATTTTTCTAATGCTTCCCAATGATAATAGGAATTAAAAATAGATGTTTTAAAGAGAGAAATAATATTTAATTAAATATACTAAATTTTT